ATGTCCCCATGTTCCCATCATTTAAAGAAAATCAATATATTTAAAAATAAAAATAAAACAAATTTAATTTTCTAGCAAATAATCGATGTCCCCATGTTCCCATTATAAAAAACAAATTCAATATATTTCAAATAAAAATAAAACAAATTTCATTTTTAGCAAATAATTGATGTCCCCATCTCTCCATTATCAAAAAAATACAATATAACAAAAAACGAAAGTTCGACAATTCATTTTTAAGCGAATAATCAATGTCCCCATGTCCCCATTATAAAAAACAAATTCAATATATTTAAAATGAAAATCATACAAATTTCATTTTTTATTCAATGATCAATGTCCCCATTATCAAAAAAATAGTTAATATATTTAAAAACGAAAAACTAACAAAATCAATTCTACGTAATCGGAAATACTCTATTATTAAAAAAATTCTTCTTAAAGCCTACATTCAATTTATTATTAATGGAAATATGATAATTTTATAAAACTAAAACTAACGTTCTTCTAATTCTATTTAAAAATAGCTTATAGCTATAATACCACAAAAACTTCGAAAAAAAAATTATTTTATTAATTTTAAACGTATTCCAAACTCAACTAAATTCCAAACGTATCTGGGACAAATATAACTTGCGAACTCTACATCTTTCTAAAATTAAATTCATTTTTTATTAAATTCAACTTAAGAACTTTACAACTTTGAAAAATTTAAAATAATAATAACAACTGAATTATTTTCCGAAATTTTTTTAAAATCATATGATCATAGAATCATTTTAAAATCAAGTTTAATTTTGCCTAAACCTTAATTCTGCCTGACACATATATATATAAAATTCCTTTTATATCTATATAATTATCGTTCATTGCATTTTTTCTCTTTATTTTGACTTTACTATCAAGTTTACTTATTTATTGACCTTTCTTTAGTTATGAAAACTCAAATAGTATAATCAACACTAGTAGAGAATATTTTATTGTGAGAATAGAATAATAAAATCTCTTTTTTTATAGTATTTATAAAAAGAAAAAACTAATGAGACATTATAGTCACCGAACACATTGTAATATTTGTTATACATCGCTTTTGTAGTAATACAAGAAATAAAGACAATTTTTCTCATTGCCGTAGCAATGTTTATTTTCTTTTATTAATATAATACATTATCTATTTGAATTAATCAAACTTTCTATTTCAATTATAGAACGATGATTTTTTGGATAAATTTCTCTATAAATTTCTCGTGTTTTACAAAAATAGTCATGAGCTTGTTCAATATTTTGATTCATTTGATTCTTTAAATAATAATCACCAATAAATTTATAACATTGTGCTATTGTTAAATATTCAAGATAGTCGTTATGTGTCAGAATATCAAGTGCTTCTTTATAATGCTCAACATTTTGTTTGATATCACCTAATTTCATTAAAAGATGCGCAATACTTGAATGATTATATGCTAGATGTTTTCGATGTTGTTCTAATTGTTTTTGACAAAAATCAATTGCTTTCTTATCATTATCATTACATATTTTTCGATCAACTTCTACCAATGAACGAATACAATGTATAAGTTGTCTATGACCAATATAAAGATATTGTTCACACTTATGAAAAGCATTTAAATAAAAAAATTTCGCTTGATTATAATCTTGTTGTTTAAAATAATTATCACCAATTAGACCTTGACAAATAATCATTTCAAAATGTGAAGAATATGTTGGATGTGGTATTCTAAGTAAACATTCTACTTTTGTACATAATTCAATTGATCTATGATAATCTCCACAGATTGCATTAATACTTGCAATATTCATATTTAATCGAATAATATTTATTTTATTTTCCTCAGCATTTTTATTCATATTAGATAATGCATCCATATAGTGTTCATATGCTAACCGATGATGATCTATCGCTTTATAATAATTACCAAAGAACATATCGGATATAAAGAGTTTGCTCGTTGTATTATATTTCAATTGAATTGTATGAGCAGTTTTAAAATATTGATAAGCTTGTTCATAATTTGTCATACGCATGTGTAATTCACCAAGAGAATTATTAATAAATATTAGTTCTATACGATATTGTTGTTCAAGATTTGGACTATCTAATTCATGTAATAACATTTGAAAGTATGATTTTGCTTTAGCTAAATGATTCATATCCATAAGATATCGACCAAAGAGTGAATTTATTCCAGCATTTGGATATTTATTTTTCATTAAATCTATTTGACGTTGTATCATATCTGAACCATGATCAGTAGCTTCCATATATATTTTCCAAGTTTTAGAATTTTCTGATTCCCGTTCTACAGCTGTAATTCTAAATATTGAACCAATAGTAAATAAAATTTCGTCTTCATCTCTAGGCTTATAATTCTTCTTAGTAAAATAGGGTTCAATATCAACAAATGTAACTGTTTTTAAATTGATCGTATCAACAGTTATCACAAATAGAATCGGAATACGTTGATCATCACAGTCCTCCATGCCGCCAATGAAACCTTTTGCTACTTCAATACATTTTGTTGTTGAAAAAAATGCAGTTGTGCAAAATAATTTATCCGTGTCACTTAACTCTTTAATTGATTTCAGTTCGTCATGAGACATAGATTGTCCTCGATATAATGTTAAAATTTCTGTGTACTTTTGTTGTTTGTGAGCAAGTTCTATTTCTTTACACAGATCAACTATATAATATCGGAATGAATACCAAAACACGATATCATCTATACGAAGTACAAGATTTGTAAGTTTATAACAAAAGCTATCTTTTGTATACCATTTAATTGCATCATCTGCTTTATATACTTTACTAAAATCAGCGATTTGTTTTAATTCAGTTTGATTTCCACGATAATATTCAGCACATTTTTCTAACCATAATTTTTTTGATTCATCTGTTTGTGGCATTTGTTTTATTAAATCAACAATTAGAATATAAGAAAAACATGTTTCATTTCCTATGTTTACATCATATCGAGTTGTTGATATTAAAGATTTCAACGATTTTAATGGTGTATTGTTACTGAGACAAAATTTTAATGATGGTAATTCACGTTGAATAAGAGATTTTAATGTTTCATAATCTGTGCATACATCTACAACATTACTGTAACTTTTCAAGTTTATATAATTATTATAATTAGAACAAAATATAATAACAACAGGTACTGTAAATATGTTTATTTTGTGTAATACTTGTTTAGCTAATGAACCAGATATTATTAATAAGATTTTATTATTTTGAAATTTTTTATTATGAATATCAGTAAGAAATTGATGAGATTGATCATAAAATACGCAAGATCCAGGATAAATTTTACAAAATATATTTTTTGTATATTCAGTATCTAATGAGAATTTATTTGAATTTTCATCTAACCAAATAAGTAAATTATTTTGATCAGCTCTATTGGTTGTAACATGATGACAATGACGTGGGTGTGATTCTTGTTGAAAAGTTTCATCTGATTCATCAGTAGGAACGCGATGGTAAGTATTTGTATTACTACTAATACCAATTGTTTTTAAAATGGAATGTAATTGGCCCATGTAATAAATTTTATTCGTGACTTATGAGTAGATGAATGCGATTGATGTAAAAATAAGTGAAGCATATAAATTAGAAAAAAGTATCATATTTACATTTTATATACGCACATATATTTCTTATCACTAGACATATCAAACGTTCTTTTAACTAGAAAAAAACAAAAAGGTTAACAACGAACATTTTTTTCTCTTAATGAATACATTTACTGTCCTTTGAATGTGAATAATAAAGACAAAATTAATACAATGAACAACGATTTTGGTGGGTTGAGACCACCACAAGGATACTCTCGCATTTCTGCTCCAGTAGAGATATCAATAAATCAACGTAGTAAAACATGGATTCCACTCATAATTTTTGGAAGTACATTGTTACTCGTAGTTACAATTGTTACTTATTTGATAGTATTCAAACCTTTCTATCAACACAAATCAATAATAACAACAACAGTTTCAACTCGTACAACACAAGGTGAGATATTTAAATCTATTTAATAATTGAATATAGAATTTTGTTTTCGTACAGTATCGATCCCATTTACTAATGCACAATGTTCTGCTTCTAACTGTCCCAATGGTGATACATGTTGTCTTTCTGATGTATTGTGGACTAAAATGCGTTGTTGTCGAGGAGATACTCCAGTTTGTTGTGCATCGAATCAAGGTTGGTGTTGTCGAATACATGCACCCGTATGTTGTGGAAAATTTAGTTGTTGTCCTCTAAATCAAACTTGCTGTACAATTCAAGGAATTGAACAATGTTGTCTAGTTAATAATACTACTATGTCTACTGTTGTCATTTAAAAAAAACGTATTTACATTTATTAGTAAATTTATAAATTTAAAAAAAATACATTATATTTATGTGTTAACTAAAGTAATTATTTCCGGTTCTGTAAGTTCACGATTGTAAATTCTCAATTCATCAATAGAACCATTAAATTGTTCTGATTGAATTTCACCTTGATTACATTTCGAATTAAGAGCTAAAGAAGTACCAATAGTGATAGAATTAGATTGTTCACTAGCACTATATGAAATATTTCTAGCACTAGATGAATACATTAAACCATTGATATAAATTCGTTGTCCATTAAATTTACTATAAGTTGTTACAACAAGTGTCCAATTATTTGTTTGTAATTTAGATCCTAAAGTTGTAATAATCGTATTCTTATCTGATTTAATTTGTACAAAAATTACACCATTTGTATTAAAACCAATAAAAGGTAAACACCAAGAATCATCAGAACTTGATATATAAACTATAGTTCCTTTATTGATTTGAAGTGGATTTATCCAAAATACAATAGAAAAAGATTTATTTGAAGTACCTAATGCAACAAAACCAGTTGCTTGAAAATATGATATTGATGATGAAAATTGTAAAGCTTCATTAATTCGACCTTTAATAATTTTAATATTCATAGCTGATCCATTTAAACCATTAGGACCTAAATCTGCAAGAGAACCTAAATCAAAACTATAATATGCACAAAGTGTAGCATCTTCTAATATTTCTGCAGGTGTTTTTGCTCTTAATGTGATTGAAAGTTGATCTATGAGTCCAGTAAAATATCTGCCCGTATCTACACCAGCAGATACATATCCTGTTCCAATTACAATATCACCTTTCACACCTTTATACGGTATTGTTATTCGTCTTCCGTCAAATAAACCATTAACATAGACTTGTTGTTGTCCAAGTATTTCATAATCATAAACAAATGCTAAATGAGTCCAAGTACTATTCTCAATAATTGTATGTCCGCGTAGATCATTCTCATAGAATCCCATATAAGCAACTTTATCTCGTATCATCAAATGTAAATTTTTGCTGATACAACTTTCATCACATGAATATTGACCAAGAATTCCATTGAATGTATAATTGTAACAATCAATCCAATATACCCAAACTTCAACAGTAAAACTACGATTCGAAAAATTAATAAATGCTGATGTTTCAACATATTGATTAATACCATTTAAAGATAATGCTTTATCAATATATCCATTAGTATAAAAAGGATTGTTTACCAGAAAACCAGGATAAGAATTATTTATATCATTACAATTATCATCAAATGACCATAAAATATCATATCGTTTATATTTTTCATTAGTTTTATTTGATGATGATTGTATAGCTATAATAGAATAATCCCGTATATAAACTATAGATATTAAAGAAATTACCACCATATTTTTTGTATATTAATAAAATTATCAACGTGATAATTGTAATTAAACAAAATATTAATAGTAATATAAAAATCCGAAGTGCTATTTTATTTATTTTCTTCCATTGAAACCTACAATAAAATGAAAAAAAAAAACAAACTAAACATAATCAGTATTCTTACTTAACATGTGTGAGTACAAGTATTTCAGATGAATTTGAAATAACATCCTTATAACAAAAAAAATAATAAAATTAGTAGAAAAATTATTTTCCTTTTCATACTTCTGGAATTAAAAAATCTATTGGAGCAATAGACTGAGTAATATATTCCATTGATGTTGTTATGTACTTTTAATTGATTCACCTTTAAGAAAAAATATAACGTTGATACAATTTATTTTTCTCTTCCTCAGTCCATAATGTTCGCTACACATTGATTTTAATTTCGCCATAGAACGATATGGATGAATAAACATAATACTAAAAAAAATAGTAATTAATTACTTAACGTTCTTATAGAAAATTTCTAGAAGTTAATTTTAATTGTTTAATTGTAAAGCATATAGGTTTACGTACGATTAAAGTTAAATATGGATGTTAATGAAATAGCGTACGTAGACCCTCAATGTATATTGTGAATGACGTTTGTAAAATAAAATAAAATTTTCATTTATTATTGAATAAATAGTCATTATATTGTATAGTCATGTAAATTATAAAAGTCATTTTTTTTACTAATCTCATAAAGTAAAAGTTTGACTTTGATGATGTTATCTTAGGAATTGATAGTGTTGACTAATATGTGTTTTATATATCGTCTGTATACATAAAGGTGAATATGGATCGCGATTTTAGCAGAGATGTTCGGATGCTGATATTGAATATTAATTAACCAAGAATTTGATTATAAATTATGAACCGTCGATATCTATCATTACAAAGAATTCTCTTTCTTTTTTATTGTTTTATCAAAATGCTAGTAGATGATACCTGTATCTACATTCATGTCTTTGCGTTATTTCTTTAAAGGAATCTTTTATTAACACGCGACGACAGTGCCTTAGCTTAGAATGAGTCTTTTGAGATATTAATTCTGTAGAAATGTGATAGTTATCTAATGATTGATTTGTTGAAGTAAACTGAGAGTAGATGCTTTTTAGATCAAGTAAATTTTATTTTTTTTTGTGAATATGAAGAATAATAATATGATTTGAATGTTTTGAAATCATTATATAGTTTAATTATATTTTTATTTAATATTAATCAGTTCGTTTACATCATCGTAATTGTTATTATAGAGTCATTGACAATCGATCTATAAAATGACAAATATGAAGATAAGTAAAATAATATGTATTAACTTACTACTTTTCTTTCTTGAAAATGACTAGTTTAATGTCATCGATAAAACAAGCTTGTTGAATACTATCAGTCGGTTTGGACGGAGATCCTATATTGACTTCGATCCAGACTCGCAGATTTACAGTTCCTTTAGTAATAAATACAGTTTTTGTTTGATAATAAAAACCAGACATGGTGTTATTTGTTACTATGAATTTATAAAAAATAGACATGAATATATAGAAGTTATGGGTTTTTTATACCTATTCCACCGCATACTAGTCCAGTATAGTATTCATCGAAACATCGTACATCGATCAAAGCTCTATTATCGCTTCGATTAGGTATGACACAACCCATGAAGGCAGAAATATTGAAATAAGCAATTTCATTATTGATCAATAATGAATAACGAATCGTAGATATGTATTGATACATAACACCCAAGCTATTCTTATAAAAAGAACAATTACCGATGATAGAATCCGATAGATTCAAGTTCAAACGATTTTTATTATAAAAATCGAGACTTTTATATTTCTCGAACACCTGCCAATTCTTACGACTGTTATCGTTACACTGAAACAATAGAAAATCAATTTGTATAATTTAATAATGATAATAAACTTACTCTTTGTTCTGCTCCACCATCAACAATTAATTGAGTATTGCTTACCACAGAAAAAGAACCATTAGGATATCGAGTATTTGAAAAAGTATGTGTGGTAGCTGATAAATCTTTAGGAGTCAGATCACTGTTTAAAAGATCTGCATTGGTAAAATCAGCAGATACCGGTTTGATCCCCAAAAATTTTGCATTGATAAGAATAGCATGAAGAAACTTTACTATATACATATTATTTCCATCAAATATAGCATCAGCCAAATTAGCTTTGTTGAATATCACGCCCTCCATGAGTGATCCGATGAACTTTGCTCCAACCATATAAGCATTTTCAAATACGGCGTAATTAAGATCACATCTTTCGAAGACGATATTCGAACCGAGAACAGACATCAAAGATATATTACGCAGGTCACAGTCCATAGAATTCGATCGGATGAAATGAACATCGGTTAAATCAGCTCCTTTCAAAATGACACGTTGATTCTCTGGCTTATCTCTTCGAATTAATTCATGATTGTATAGAAACAAAATAACATCGCGTTTTTGAATTTTATTTAAATGTCGTAGAACATCTATTGTTTTAAATCCTATATAATTCAATTGTTGCCGATTGGATCGATTAAAAGAAGGATTAAGAAGCAATTTTGAAATCTCTTTGATGTATGCATCGTACATAACCTGTTGACGAAGTTCAATTGCTTGACGTCGATCTTGTTCACGATTTGCAATAGAAATTGAGTTTTGTTGCATTGTAAAAACGATAGTAAAGACACCGAGTACAAGTGGAAGGCAAGCCGAAAGAAGAACACGACTCCAACTCAAACAAGCACTTGGTTTTGATGAAGATGCTGTTGTATTAACCATTTTAAACACTTTTCTGATGTATACTAAGGTACTGTTGAGTTTCTAGAATACATTTTATTACATACAGTTTTAGCGTATTTAATAAAAAAAAAGCCTTTTGGAATTCATATCTACCCTAGAAGTGCTAGCTATGATCAAAATATAAGCTTAAACGAAAGGAATGATTTAAAAAACAACTGAATCAGATATGTAATATGCCTGAAATGATCGTTCAAAATATTGATGTTATTCTATCTTTTAAACTGTTATATTTGTTCAGAAAGATGACTATATAATGCTGAATTATATTACATGATATATTAATGTCAATTTAGTTTAATTCACTAACAGATTATCACAGAATCTACGTCAATATACATGTATTGACGTCAAATAATATAGCATATATTTGCTCTTCGTGAGAATTCAATAGTTACTTGCATTGCTGACTTTTCAAAAAATGTTTCTTTTTGTATTTATTCAAAAAATAATAGATAACAAATATAGAATGACAGTTACAAACGTAGGCGAAGTTGGTGCCATATTCGTTTAGGAAAGTGTTCTAATCATTGTTCCAAGTAAAAACTCAATAAACTCGAATGAATGGTATTTTTTTATTTGAAACTGAATTTTGACAAAAAAGAAGGGCCTCTTTCGGCAAGCACTTGCAGATCTTGTTGGTATTAATAAAACATTTTATTAATATATATATAAATCAACGCTACCACCATAAATATAGATCTTTATTCATCATTTTTAACGTATAATCATCAAGAAACATATCGGATACGATTAAGGTTTCCAATCTTGTAAGCCAAATCGTGTCTACCCATAAAAGACGTAATGAATATAAATGACTAGTATTTCGATTTGTTTTCTCTAGTAGAAATCGTACACATGATTCTAAATCTTTTGTATGGAAATTTATTGTAAGACGTTGGATTCGAGAGAATAAAGCAACAAGTATCTGAAGTTTATCTAATGTACATCTTGGTTTAAAAGTCACGTTTGTAATAGTATTTGTACTGGATACCAGTTGAAATAATTGATTTTGTTGAATAGAATTATAACTAACTCCATGAAGTGACATAGATTCAAATACTAATGTGTGAATCTGAGGAGTCCAACATAATAATTCAATTAATTTTATCAAAGAAAGATGATCACATTTAATAATTAATTTAGTAAGTTGTTTTAAAGGAATAACATGATTAAGCATGAACACAATTGAATTATGAGTAATTGAAAACCCTTCTTTAAAAGTAAGTATAGTAACATTTGGAAAATAATATTTGCAATTGATTGTTTGTTGTTCATCGTAAATTTGAAGATGTTGAACAGATTGCAAATGAGTTTCCTTAGAATTTAAACAAGTTGATTGATGAAGTTGATTACATAATGTATAATATTTTCTCCTAAACAGTAAAAGTAGTTTATGCATATAGTACAATTCAAAATCTAATGTATTCATACCTATATGGATCAGTTGAGTAGATAATTGTATGATCTTTATATAGTTTCTCATAATATTGTTGTGCAACAAACCATTGCCGTTTGATCCAAAATGAAGATGAAAAATTATCAATCACAGTATTCGATATTGCTTGATTATCATTAGTAATATCGTCCGAACAACCTTCATGTCGAATATCAAATATACGTAAATTTGGCATATGAGATAATATCAATTGTTCCCATCTATTAGCATTTGTATACATTTGATCGGAATTAAAACGTATGAAAATATGTAAAATTTGCACCAGACGAAAAATATCTATGACCAATTGCTCAAATACATCGAAGCTTATAAAGCTAAGATCAAGTGACACATGTGTCAAATAAGGTAATACAGGTAGAGATGTTTTTATATATTTCGACGAAGATTCGATTACACAATAAACACATAAACGTCGAAGTTTTGGAACATATGATAATAAATTATACAGTTGATCGATGGGTATATCATGACTGATGATTAAGTACTCGATAGGACTGTATTCATCGATGGTCGGCGAGAATAATTCATTGTAAGATAATCCTTTCAATGATAAACTACAATATTTCAATGCAGGTAGACGGACTACCTGATAATAAATAGGCGTCTTATTCAGAATAAAGTCTGCAGATACGATAGATAATGAAGAAAGACATGGTAAAGAAACTAATGTACCAAGGAGATATTCAAGATATTTTAATTCTATATTATTAAGACTAAGCGTTTCAAGATGTAGGAAATCGGACATAATATGAATTGGTGAAGATATATCATCATATAAACATAGATTTGATAGATGAAGTGAATGAATTCGATGTTTATTTGGTAGAATAATATCTTTATTGAATCGTTGAAATGTCGATTTTGATATAGACGAAAGATTAACTTCAATTGGGAGAGTTGAATTAACTATAAGATTATGAAATCGTGTATTAAGTGAATAAAAAGCATCATAAACATAATGAAAATCTAATAATTCAAATATTTCATAGATTAATTCATTTGAAAGATCTTCAAAACATGTGACGCATTCTTTTGATAAACTAAAAATAAGCAAGAACATACATTTTAACGGATAGTTTTTGTTGACTCACCACCCATTCGTTTCAGCTGAAAAAAAATAGAAATTATAAAAAATATTTATAAGTATATTATACCTTGTATCTTTTGTTTTTTATTATTATCATAGTTGTTCACATTGTTAGTTCGTTGACGTTTTATTTGTTCCATATAGATATTCTGAATGTTGTAAATCGATAATAAAGCGTCGTTTCTTCAAAAAATAAAAGCATGTAATGAATATAGTTACACAAGGGTTTTTCAACATAGAACAAAAATAAAGAACAAATACGCACACCCAATGAATTGTCTGAATAGAAAAAAATACACTTTAGAAGAATAAGAAAATAACGAATACCGTCATTGAATGAGTCATCTCAATAGAAAAAATGCACACTTTAGAGGAAGAAAAATAAATGAGTTCTTATTTTTTGAGGTGAGGGTATGCAACTGATCAACAGTGCCCTCAACTGTATTAGTTTCTGAAAAACAAGGTAAATAATATCAATGATTTATTCAAAATTAATTAAACATATAAAAATAAAGTAAAAAAAAAATATTTATTCTCACCAAAAATTAGCAAATAAAGCAACCATCAAGTTTTACAGAAACGTCATTCTATTATTTAACTTCTGTAGTTATATTCATTAATTTTTCAATCCATATAATTTCGTCTGTACTTCGAATAAACAATGAATGTAAATAACGAGTGTTTTCATTGGTGCTTAATAAATATTGTATAATCGAGGACAAAGATTTACAAATAGTTGAACTTGCATGATTTAACAGTAACATCTGTAATAGTATTTTTATGAGATAAATATTGGAAATTTTCCGTACATCGTAACAACGATAAAGATGTAAGCATTAATTTTTTACAAATAGATATCGTACATAACATTTTGATTATATTGGAAAAAGAAATAAAACTACTATTAATCGTTATTTTCGTTAGTCGTAATAAAAGAATCACGCTATTAGAAATATTTATAATTAAATCTTTAGATACATAAACATTTTTGCCAAAAGTAATTTCATTAGCATTTGAAAAATCAATTGAAGAATTGAATAAAGATTAATTTTCTTGTTGTATGAATAGTTGCACTGATTTTCAATACAGTTCAATATGTAGTTTTTTCTCCTTCAAAATAGAAAAATAAAGCCACCAGCACAATCGTCATGAAATTAAAATGTGAAACACGATCTAACTGCAATTAATAATAATAAAATGTCCTTGTTAATCATTTCTAGTCATCAACAACAATTAAGCTGACGATAGGACTTTTCCAAATAGTAATATTAGTCAATCATATCAGTCGCATCAATGATGATTTATTAATAACGAGATCTTGTATAAATTAGAAAAAATCCTACGATAATACGACTGCAATTCAAAAAATTGTTTATAATGTCGTTAAAATGATGATTTCGATATATTAAAAATATTGACTTCAATTAAAAGATCTGATAAAATGAGAAGATTTCGAAATCGTCTATTTAAATTATTAAAAATTCCATCAGCTTCATAAGTATTAAGAAAGCCAAATATTTCATACATTATTTCATTTGAAATATCTTCAAAATTAGTACATTTGTTTTCAATATTAAAATAAACATATACGTAGATTTTTGAGAAAATTATATATCGCTTTTATTCTATCAAATAAAAATAAATTGATGAGTCATATCAAAAGTTGTGTATATTATGTGAAACTATGGATGATTATTGTAGTTTTCATATGATTATATTCGATTGAACAACTGGGTTTTTTTCTATTTGTTAAGTTAAAAAAAGGAATATTATTATGTAGTAATCACATATATTCGTTATTTCTTTTCTATTCTATCGAGAATACATATGAAATGCACATGTATTTCTATATATTCTCTTCTTTCTCGTGTTTTTGATTTTCTTCCCGAAATATTTAAGCATGTATTAATTACAATTGTTTGTTTCAAAGCTATAATAAAAACGATTGTTTTTATTTTATAATCTCGATTCATCGGAAGTTTATATAAATAAGCTAAAATAATTATTTTATTATTAACAATGCGAATTTCTTTCTAATTCAATTTTTAGAAAATCAAAAAAAAATAAATAATCAGATATTATACTAACGTTGATAGCTTCTATATTTAAGACAAAGAAAGATAATTAATTGATATATTTGTAACTGTAAAGTATTATAACATCATATTTATCTTTGCTCGCATAATGCTATTGCTCATTGTTACTATCTTTGTTCGTTAGTTTCTATATTTAAATGTATACTTTGTTTTGGTTGCTTTTTTCATCAATTAATGTGATCAGTCCTATGTTCTTTCAGACTGTATTATGAACAGAGAGATATTGAAATTATCGATAAAACCTCAACCATTTCTCGTATCATAATATTATGATCTCCTCTTGTATATCATCTACTTTTAATCTTATCAAAATAATATAATTCTACAAAAAGAATATGTCATCATCATTATTTTCTTCTTCTTCTTCAACAACACTTTTCTTACTGAAAGTAAATGAAGAAAGTTTTGTTCTTGAATAAATATTCTTGTTGCGTGAATATAAATTTTATTATTATTCTATTAAGATAATTGAAAGAGATTTATATAAATCTCTACGATTTTAATTGGAAATGTAAACATAAATATATTCATATTAGTTAAATAATGTGAAGAGATGAAGTGGACGAAGAAGAATTCGTCGAGAAGTTTCTTCTCTTTATTAAGCTCATGAAGAAAGATTGTAATGGATCGAGATCCATAAAAAGTCACATGGTAACACAAGCACTTGATGTACGAAAGAGAAACAAGATATGTACGGGAAGAAAGAAAGAAATGTATGAGAGAGAAAGATATAACTATGTAACAATATCCATTATTAATAATCAGTTTTTGTAGATTATGTGAATTCACATGGAGAAAAGTCTAATGAAATATTTAAGTTAAACAAAAAAATAACTTATGCTATAGTTTGGTTAAAATAATAAAAGTGCCATGTAGAAATGTATTTTTCTCTAATTTTCATTATCTTTTATTTCTGTTAGTTTTAACAAAAAAAGAAGATTCTATTAATCAATATTATTATTAATATGTTGACATTGTAAGAATATCTATCATAAATATATGAAACATCATCTAGTTTCATTTGTTTATGAACACATAATACGTATACATACACATATGAATAAAATCAAAGAAAGAAAATTTAATCGAGGCCATAGGAAAAACAGAGGAAGAAGAGATGTTAATGTATTTCGTATGTAACGAATATAATTTACATGAAAATATGTTTGTTTATATTATTTATTCTACCAGTGGTTGTTATATTAGTTGCAGTTTTAACAAACTAAATCATTAAGACATGAAGCAAAATTTAGCATAATTCTAATAAAAATATGACTGATATTATTTTATCAAGTTCAAGTGAAATGAATGATCAATATTGTATTGATACACGTGCATAATAAACAACAACTATTTTAAGATAACTTGATTTACATGAGAAAACGTTTAGTTATTTTATTATTAAAATGATTTATTTAAATATTCACAAAATTGATCGTAATATTATTTTCTAATTAAAAAACTGTATTTTATTTACTTTACAATTATCTTCTATTTCATTCTTAACTATTGTTCAGATTCTCATTCTAATAATCATTCAGATAGTTTTATAGATATTAAAAATATTGAATTTACTGTTAATATTATATAATATTTTTTATCTTTATTTAATGTAAACAATCTTGTTTAGAAAATAGGATTCAATATATATCGTATCGACAAGAGAAAATTTGATTTATTATATTTCTATGAATTAAAATAAATTTTTCTTATCTTATAATAGAAATTGAGGAATTTTATTTATAGAAAAATAACGAATGTTTATTCAATGACTGATAAATAAAAGAAAATTCGAAATAAAACAAACTTATAGAATTAAGAAAAAATTCAATTTCTGCTGTTCTATAAATATTGCTATATATATCTAATATCCTACAGGGGTCGGAATGTGATGGTTAATTAATTTTTTAGTATTTTTAAAACGAAATAATAACATTAGATTATAATTTATGACTGAATTAGAATTATCGAATCGGTTTTTTTACTAAAATAATGAAAAATGTAAAGTTGTTTTTTTGACCTCCGCCATTGCATTGTGTGTGAGTCATTATTGAACGACGTTTTATCTTTTCTTTTCTTTTCATTCTTTTTCTTTATTTGCGACACGTACGATACGATTCAGTCCTAATATATTCTATAGGACAAAATGTTGACGAGATGTTTTTCTCTTTTTACGAGAAATTCTGTCTATTGATATTTCTCGGGTTATAAGCCCATAGAGTATTCTTATATTTAATCATATATTCTTATTTTGTTATAGAATAATTCTTTGTCTTCACTTTCAATATAAAATAATAATATAAAATATGCGTGAAATCGTTCATCTTCAAGCTGGTCAATGTGGAAATCAAATTGGTTCTAAAGTAAATAAATAAATATATATTTTTATTTTATATAATATTTTTATTTTAGTTTTGGGAAGTTATTTCTGATGAACATGGTATTGATCCAACAGGAACATATCATGGTGATTCTGATCTTCAACTTGAACGTATAAACGTTTATTATAATGAAGCAGCCGGTAAATCGAAAATAGAATAAAAAAATTTTTATAGTAGAATTTTTTTTATTTTAGGTGGTAAATATGTTCCACGCGCTATTCTTGTTGATCTTGAACCAGGTACAATGGATTCAGTACGTAGTGGTGCATTTGGTCAACTTTTTCGCCCGGATAATTTTGTTTTTGGTAAATATATTTTACAACGTTTTTTTTTATATCTTTACTTTTAAATCATATTAGGACAATCTGGCGCCGGTAACAATTGGGCTAAAGGCCATTACACAGAAGGCGCCGAATTGGTTGATTCAGTTTTGGATGTTGTACGTAAAGAAGCTGAATCATGCGATTGTCTTCAAGGCTTTCAATTGACACATTCACTTGGTGGTGGTACAGGTTCTGGAATGGGTACTTTACTTATTTCAAAAATTCGTGAAGAATATCCAGATCGTAAATTAATAATTATTCATTATTAAATAAATATATCTATATTTTTTCTTATTTAAGGTATCATGATGACATTTAGTGTTGTCCCATCACCAAAAGTATCTGATACTGTTGTTGAACCATACAATGCAACATTATCTGTACATCAACTTGTTGAAAATACAGATGAAACCTATTGTATTGATAATGAAGCATTATATGATATTTGTTTTCGTACACTTAAATTAACAACACCAACATATGGTGATCTTAATCATCTTGTTTCAGCTACAATGTCAGGTGTAACAACATGTCTTAGATTTCCAGGTACGACAAAAAAAAATATTAATCTTTAATTAAGAAAAAAAACAAAACGTTTCGTTTTCTGTTTAAATAGGTCAATTAAATGCTGATTTAAGAAAATTAGCTGTTAATATGGTTCCATTTCCTCGTCTTCATTTTTTTATGCCTGGTTTTGCTCCATTAACATCTCGTGGTTCACAACAATATCGTGCATTAACTGTACCTGAATTAACTCAACAAATGTTTGATGCAAAAAATATGATGGCTGCATGTGATCCACGACATGGAAGATATTTAACAGTTGCTGCAATATTTCGCGGTCGAATGTCAATGAAAGAAGTTGATGAACAAATGTTAAATGTACAAAATAAAAATTCATCTTATTTTGTTGAATGGATTCCAAATAATATTAAAACAGCTGTTTGTGATATTCCACCACGTGGTCTTAAAATGTCTGCAACATTTATTGGTAATAGCACAGCTATTCAACAATTATTTAAACGTATTTCGGAACAATTTACTGCTATGTTTCGTCGTAAAGCTTTTCTTCATTGGTATACCGGTGAAGGAATGGATGAAATGGTAATGAAAGAATTTTTTTGTTTCGAGAATTCTAATTATTTTAGAGAGTGAGAGAGTTAGTTTCCTATTAACATATTTGATTTGAATGATATTCTAAAATGATTTTTCGAAAAACATTTAGAAATATACCATTCATCGATTCCAACGATCGAATAATTTAAATAAATATTCAAGCGCATTTATTGCCGGATAAAAATAGTTTGGAATATTCCAATCATCGACGGCGACACACTACTACTACTAAAGCATTTTTTTCTGGGTCCAATAATTAGCAATCGATATAAAATTTCTAATTTTACTTTTTCTACTCGTAGGAATTTACTGAAGCTGAATCCAACATGAATGATCTTGTTAGCGAATATCAACAATATCAAGATGCTACAGTTGAAGGTAAATTGAATTTCTTTTATTTTCTTTCTATTCTTATTTTTATTTTTATTTTAGAAGAAGGCGAAGGTGAAGAAGAGGAAGAAGAACGTGCATAAACGACGATTCCAATCGACAGAATTATTCATTTTTTACATAACAATACATCCTTCTCTTCTTCTTTTTTTCATATACTCAACAATTTATCTTTGCAATTGAGACTATATATATCATTTAAACATAGGTTTCTATTTGCAGACAATATCTTTTACATCTTATTACTCTTAATTAAAATTCAAATAAACTTTCTTTTAAAAATTATCAAAAAATATATAATCAAATTCATTGCGAGAATACGAAGATAAATAAAAATATTTTCAAATAAAAATTCGTCTAATCAATTGAAAAATATTCTTATAATAAAATTATGAAATTCAAAATTGAATAAATGTAAAATTAATTCTTTGAAACATTGTTCAACTATCATATAAAAATAAAATAACTAAATCAGGTTATCTTAAAACAGTTGTTGTTTATTATGCACGTGTATCAATACAATATTGATCATCTATTTCAGTTGAACTTGATAAAATAACATGAATTATTTTTTTAATAGAATAATACTAGATCTTGTTTCATTTCTTAATGCTTGAGTTTGTTAAAATTACAGCTAGTATACTAATCATTATTGGAATAAATAATGTAAACAAACATATTTTTATCTAAATTATATCCATTAGATATCAAATACATTAACATTTCTTCCTCCTCTGTTTTTCCTATGGCCTCGATTAAATTTTCTTTCTTTGATTTTATTCATATATGTATGTATACGTATTATGTGTTCATCGACAAATGAAATTAAATGATGTTTCATATATTTGTCATAGATATTCTTACAATTCCAATGTATTGCTAATAATATTGATTAATAAAATATTCCTTTTTTCTATTAAAACTAACAGAAATAAAAGATAATGAAAATTAGAGAAAAATACATTTCTACATGGCACTTTTATTATTTTAACCAAACTATAGTATAAGTTATTTGTTTGTTTAACTTAAATACATCATTAACAAAACAAATCAAACTATGCATATTATTCGAAAATATTTATATAAAGTGTATAGAATAATATTTACTTGTTCTTTAAAATTTAAAACGCAATAAAATTTTAAGAATTTTACAAAAAATAGAGAGGAAAATATCTCTCCATAATGTTCCTAAGAGTAGACGAAAGGCATAGTTTATATATTGGTGGTTAATGATTTGTTTTAAAAATATAAAAACTTATTAATAATTAAACACGAATGATATATTAAAAATATTATGGATAATTCTAATTAATGTATGCGAATGTGAAAGAAGTTTCTGTTTTTTTAGAACGCTTAAAACATATCTGAGAGGTATAATAAGTGAAGAAAGACTATTCAATTTATCTTTAATAAATACGGATTGTAGCTATTTATAATCATCTGAAACTAAATCAATACTTTTATTTGAGCAATTTCAAAGGAGAGCAGAAGTGAATTATGATCGATTTTTTACACGTTCAAGATTACTTTTATAAAATTGAAGTATAAGGTCATTTGGAGGTATTGAACGTTGAGCAATTTCAATAGCATTCTCATAGGAAACGACGGCTTTTGAATAGTTACCCATCTTTTCGTAGACACTGCCAATCAAATTGTTTGATGTAGCCAAATCAGAATGATTTGAAGGGAGTGATTTTTGTTTTACTTCTAGTGCTTTTTCGTAGAATGAGAGTCCTTTTGAGCAGTCACCTAACTGGTAGTAGACCAAACCGATATTATCATATGAAATAGCTAAATAAGGATGAAATCGTGAAAGTGATTGTTTACTAATTTCTAGTGCACGTTCATAGTGTGATCGTGCTTTCGCATATTCTTCCATCTGATAATATACTGAACCGATATTATTATAAGTAGAAGCTAAATCGGGATGATTTGGCGGAAGTGATTGTTGACTAATATCGAGTGCTTTTTCATAGAAAGAGAGGGCTTGTGTTTCATCACCCATTCTGTTATATACCAAAGCGATATTGTTGTAGGAAGTAGCCAAATCTGGATGATTTGGAGGAAGTGATTTTGTGCTAATATCTAAGTCCTTTTGATAAAATGAGAGTGCAGTTGAGTAGTCACCCATCTTTGCATAGACTCTACCAATATTGTCGAACGAAGTGGCTACATCTGGATGATTCGAGGGAAGTAATCGTTGTCGAATTGTCAAAGCTTTCTGTTGAAAAGAAAGTGCTTCTGAGTACTGACGCAATTGATCATAAACTGAGCCAATATTGTTATAAGTAGACGCTAGATTTAAATCATCTCGAGGAAATATTCGTTCTTGGATTTTGAGAGATTTTTCCAAAAATGAGACTGCTGCTGGATAATCACCTTGATTGTTTTTGATCATCCCGAGCATATGATATATATGTCCTTGTTTATGATTATCTCCCGCAGTACGTTCGATTAAGGTCATATATAACTGTTCTGCCTTATCGAGAGCATTTAGTGTTAGAAGCAGTTGACCTAATCGATACCATCCAGTTGCTCCAGTTGTTGCTTCACGCATACTTTTAGTTAGAGCAAGAAGCTTTGGATCATGATCATTCGTGAGTATAAGGTTGACTTGCCAAAGATGTTGATTAGAATGTTCGAGTTGTTGAATTTCACCAATGCGAAAGACTGTATGCATGGAAAAGAGAACTTCTTGTTCAACATCTTGATAATAACTCACATTGTCTAGAAGAGCAAATGGAGTAGAAGACTTTTTCGGATCAATATTAATAATGAAGAGAAGACCAACAAAGTCTGGTTTTTGTAGAGCACTACGAGCAAATTGAAGAGATACAAAACGATCTTTACTAGTAGATAAGAAGTTATTAAAGGAAATAAATCCTTCTTTGGTTTGAATGAGTTTATTAAATTCTTCTTTCGACAATCCTTGACCACGATAGACAGTGAACGATGATTGATAATTCGATAATTGTTTACGATGTAATTTTACAATTTGTCGATGTACATCAGCAAGAAAGAAACCCATCTTCAAAATAGTATCCATTTCGAATACACGTAGTGCACGATTAAGCATACGATGAAGACAGAAATCGGATGTATACCACCAGATCGGCGTATGTAGATGATAATCATGTTCGAATTCGTTGATTTTTTTTAGTTCTCTCTTGTTTTCACTGTACTGTTCACGACAAAAAGCAGTTAATTCTTTCAAAGACTGTTCATCGAAGTCGATCTCAAGGAGAGCCTCTTTCAATAATTCAGTGTACATAAAATTTGAATTGATTCGTTCTTGATTGATCGAATGAGATATTTCACTTGTCGATACGAAACTCATTGCTATGGAATCTTTATCACATTGTTGAGTAGCTTGTTTTAATGCATTACATATGGATGTTATTTCATTAAAAATACCCTTTACTTTCATCCAATCTTTGGTGCATCGTTCATAATATCGTCTGTTCGGATTATAGACATAGATGGAATCAAGTTGTTTGAGATTATGAACAATAGATACAATGTGATGATCAAGAGTGTCAGATATAATCATAAAGATTTTCTCATCTTTGATATTTTTGACAAAATCAATGCACCGATCGGAATCCGTAAAAGTAAAAATGCTGTTAACGATCGATCGTAGATGGGTTAGTGAATTCTGAAAATCTTCATTTGTTTCATTGATATGAATGTCAAACCAGATCAGAAGAAAATTTTGTATGATTCGTCTTGATTGAGCTCCACTAATCAGTGGTGTCGACCGTATAATAGTGGTTTCTTTGAAGGAGTTACTTTCTGGTATGCATGTCTTTGCTGCCATCTTGTTCGAGCCGAGAGTGCAAACGGTTATTTATAAAATTTGATTTTTTTTATCGTTCTTCACGAGAAAGTGTTTTTTTTCTTGTTCTGTCAGACTACCATTGCGCTACGACTAAAAAAGCTACGAAAAACAGAATGAAGATAATCAACAAAAAGAATTCTTATTCTCAATAAATAAAAAGAACGGTAAAAAATTCTTGTTGCTTTGCTTCGATGTATGTATACACAACTACCATTTAAACTTCATCAGTGCATTTAGCAACAAAATGCACTACGCTTCTTCTCTACCACATGTTTTCAAGAGTATTTTTTTTTCGATGCGCATTTTATTTTATCGAAAGATGGTTCTAATTGTCTCCCTTCGTTATTATTGTTATACCGTCAGGATATCAATCGATGAAAGAACAATCATAGGAAAGAATTCTAATATCTCTCCCTCTTATTATAATGAGGAAATGTATGATTATCCACTAACTAAAGACTGTTTATCATCACAAATGTTTTTGAATGTTGTTTAATTAATGTAACAGCACTTCTCATGAGTCTTGTTGCTTAACTCGGTTGACAATTCGATTCCAGTAGATAGTTGATGGACTTCATGGAGTTATTAAATAGTAATTATTCCTTTTTTTTGCTATTACTGATACAGGATTTCTTCGCCAAGGTACATTTTAAATTATTAAACATGATATTTTTTGTTCAAATTCTTATGACTATTCTATCCAAGTATGAGATGCTAGGATTCAATGGTATAGTTTGATTTCATTAATTTAGTACAATCCATTAATTATTGAATTTGTAGTGTTTGCAAGTTGAGAGATGAATGCTATCTTGGTTTATTCCAGTCAGTTCATACTAAGAGTATCGAAAATTTACTTTCAATCATTGTTGTAAAATTATCTCTACTGTTTTAAAATATATTCACTTATTTGATATCCTTCTAAATGTATAAAAATACATGATTTACTCTGAAGTGTAACTACACTGTAGAAAAATGCAAAACTGTGCGATTCAACAAATCTCATCGATTGATAACAATAGCTCCAGTTTTGAACAGTCACGTAGTGTAAAATTCATAACATTATTATAACAATCATCACGACAACAGTACGATCAGTTTTCAATCATAAGTATCAATATGAAATATGATGCTTAAAATTCATTCCAAAGATTTATTGTTGAAATTTACTTGAATTCATTTTTTTGGCTAGTTTATAAACATATCATATAAAAAAAATTTACAAATCATCTTCAGAGTGGGTATAGTTATTTTCTTTATTTCTTTCTAATTAATCATATATCTTGTAGTAAACTTAGTATAATAATAAATTATGATTCTAAATGCGTCTATTTGTGAATCATTAAAAAAGATTGATAGAGTTTATTTGAAATTATAATGTAATAAATTTATATTATTCTTGGTCAATAAATATGATCTTCAAAATGAACAGTAACATAAGAATAATATTAGAATATGATAAGCTAATGACATCTATATTTTACATTAGGAATTACTATCAAAACTGACTGAAAATAATCTAATTTGTTTGTTCTAATATTGTTCTGTTTGTTATTCGTTTTGATGTTTATGTCTGATGCAGTATCTTATCAAGACAAGAGTGATTGTCAGTGTTGAAAAAACCAGACAAGAGATCTATTTTAACAAATTAGAAGTCGTCAGCCAAGAAACATATTTTTTTCTGAACATGACCACAAATAACAAATGAAATTAATTCATAAACATATATTACACATAAATGAACGATATTACTTTTTGAGACTGAATATAAATGCAAGATACTAGTTTATTTCTTATAACCATGTATTCATAATCAAGTCAAGCTCATATTCACACTTCAAGATAATTTTTTCAATGATATAAATATGTATCTAGATAGTTGAAACAAAAGAAGAAAATTTTATGACAATCGTGATGATGAAGACTGATGTCGAAAAGTTTGACTGTTTGTACATGATGGATATGGAAGGTCTAGTAATGATGGAATCTTTTTTGATGATATTGATCGATTTGAATGAATTTGAGAATGATGAGATTTAGATCTTTGTATTCGTTTTACTGCATCTTCCATACAAGAACGTTGATCTTTAAAATGAGATTTGGAACAATTAAGACATATCATTTTTGCAGGATCATATTGAGCAGTCGATAATAATGTATTACGTCCTGATGTAACTCTTGATAGAGCATAGTATTCATTAGACACTAACACACAACCATCCTATGATAGAAAAATAATAAATTATTATAGCAATATTCAACAATATTTCTCCATTAGAAAATTAATTACTTGAATTAATTGAATGACTATTCTCCCAATATTTATCGCATCATCCAAACCAGAATGTAAATTACCATGAAATGGAAGATGTAAATTTTCTAACATATTTTGTATACCTGTATATCGGTAAGAATTAAAAGATTGCATATGAATGATAAACTGATTAACTTACGACCGGGCATAACAAAATAAAAGTCTGAAAATGTTTTTTTCACATTAAACCATTGGTATGCCCAATTAGGATATATTATATGAGAGATTTCACATTGCATTCGTAAATATTTTTTGAAATCCGATGGTCTATTAAAAAATAATTAATTATATTCAAGATCAATCTATAATATTATTTTACCCATCAGTAATAAATAGACATTTTTGTTCTGAATCTGATATTAAATTTCTATCGTTCAACCATCTCTCAACATTGATAAATACATCTGTAAATACTAATGCATTGTTTACTTGTTCCTACTTATATCGAAAGTAATACATAAATTTCTTAGAATTTCTATAAATTTTACCTGTGTTATTCCAGTTAATTGTTTACAATAATCTGATAATATTGGTTGACGTACTGGCTTACAATATGAATGAAATGTATCAACCTAAAATAATATATATCTTATAAATATACTATAAAGATAAATATTTTCATACAATTTCTTGTTTGGCAACATCAATAAGAACAACTGGAAATTCAATTATTTCTTGAATATAAGGATTAGGTGGTTTGGCTGTACATGTTGCTTCAAAATCAATAACAGCGACAAATTTATATACCTGTTCTTCATATCCTTTACAACTGCATGTTAAACGTGTTTTTAAAATATCGATATTTCCCCTAACAAATGTAAAAGATTATTATATAAACTTTGTTTTTCTTTGTTGAACAAACCTTGTTGATAAATTTCGCTTTGCTAATTCTTTAAGAAGTACATTGTATGATAATCGATCTATTTGTTCTTCGATTAAATTTGACATGTTCTGAACGTCTTAAAAATAAATACAGAAAAGAAATCGATATTTGTATTTATATATATTCGTGTCGTAAATACAGAATGAGTAATAAAAAATGAGGATATGTGTCATCATTCAGCATATTTGTGTAATGACAGTGAAGCCTATATATGTATTTGATTTGTATACTTTTGCAAAGAGAAAAACAACGAATGACGCATATTTAACGAAAAAAAAATTAGTTTCATTCGTAGACAAACAAGTACAGAATTATAGGAAATGTGTTGTATTGTGTTAAATTATAATCTTGCAAAACGATGTTATGCCATTTAAAATACTATAAAAAAAAACGAATTTTTAAAGTTCTCTCATCCGAAGAAACAAATGAAAGATATCACACTTGTAAGAATATATTATGAATATTCAATTATCTCATTCTACATGGAATAGAATCTATCTATAATTGTAATAGTTTGATTTAGTCATTTCAACGCTAATAATAAGCTGTCATGTTGAAGATATAAAATACAGAAAAATAATTGTTTTCAAGAGCAAGACTAAAATGAAGAGTTGACAATATTGATTTATTGAATAGATCACTCTCTCTCGTTTATAATTAAGTTCTATCCTGAAAATTATTACACTAGAAGAACGCATATATGATGAGCTTCTTGTATTAATAACAAAAATAATCTATCTAAGTGGAGAATAACGTCAACTTAGATGAATGAATTAATATAACAATAATAATTATATACTTTCATTTCTCCTCCTGTCTATCTTCGTTTTATTTTGAAAATGAGATGGATGAATGTGATATGAGTGTTGAGTCATTGTTTCTTTACATTCATATTCTCACGAAATCTTTAACTTACGGTTTTGTTATGCAATAACAAGTCAACAAAAAAAAGATGCTTTCGTTATCTTTTATTAAAGAATAAACACAAATAGAAAAATGCCCTTGATAATTGCCAACAAACTCACATTTATTGAAGAAGAAGTCATTTCTTTGAATCTGGATACTGTTGTTAATTCTAATCCAACTACTACCGTTGGCTCTCGTTATTATGATATTATTTATACATCTTTTCATTACAATGCACCGCATCTCTATGCTTTCGAATACAATGGTAATGAAAAAGCATTAGCGTGTCTAAGAAAGATTCTTGCTTTACAGCCAGATTCGAATGAAACAATGGCACTATTTATTACAAAATTCAAAGAACCAATTGATGAAGAAAATGTAAAAGAATATGCAGTACAACTTGGTTCTAATTATTGGAATTCATATTCCGATGGACAACAAGAAACTGATCAAACAGCGATTCATTTTCATTTAATACACGGTAAAATACCAGAGAATTATGAATCTCTAAAAGATAACGACAGTGAAAGTAATGTTCTTTCACATATATTAATCGATCAACTGGCAAAGTCAGCTCAACCATGGCTTTGAAACAACGTATTAATATATTTAACAGTACCATTTCAATGACAGATCTATCTTATGTGTCAATTTAATTATATCTGTTTCGTATTAAGAAGAAGAATAAGAATTTGTGTATAATTATAGATAGTTTTGTATAAGATGCACACAATGTAAAATGACAGCACATCTTATTTCTTATTCAATAAAGAAACATAAAATACTAAGAGAATATCAAAATTCGAAAAAAGCCTAATCATAAAAAAGCAAAGTTTTATTCTTTACTCATGACTGACAAGACAAGAAGAATAAGTATGGGTAAACAAATAGAATCGTCAGACACTCATAATAGAGTTTTGAATACTTTTCATACACAATCAAATTCAATAGTATAGGTATCACTTTTTTTATTGAATTATCGAAAATCCTAGATTATATAAAAAAATAAATCAGCAATCAATCATCTAAATTAAATCGAACACGCAACACATTTCGTTCAATATCTTCGATTTTGGTTCGACCATGGACAAAACGTGCATTGTTAAACATGACCATCATGTTATTTGTGAGTGTAGGTCGAAACACTGGTAATTGATTTTCAGCCAAAATAATTGAATTGAGCTCAGCAATAGCCATTTGTTTCTCTGGAGTTTCTTCTTTTAATTGTTCCTTGTTAACAATATCTCGTCGATAGCGAATATGTTCATCACCTTCGAGTAGAATATGTCCAGATATATGATCAATGTCACCCTTGCGAAAATCTGGAGGAACATTAATTTTATAGGTTTCCTCGCGTAATAATCGTTGTGTTTTAGGTGACAATCGATCGACAATCTCTTTAGTACGAACCATTTGAAATTTACCTCCGTTTTCTGTTCGATCACATTGAACAAAATACAATGCAACAAAACGAGGAGCATCATGTTCATATGAACAATCTGTATGAAAGACTAGTTCACGATCCAATTGAGATGCTTGTAATTTGGATTTAGGTGAATCAAGTTCGAGTACTTTGACAGGCCAAATGAATGCTGTTGGATCATCATTATACGGACAGCAAACACCTCCCACCTTGTTAATTGTATCAAGACATGCTTTATCACAATTTTCATCGGGTATGTTTTCACATTTTACTTTCACATAGCCATTTGTGATCAGTTCGTTACGTAATTTATCAAACAGATCGTTACTACCACCATCCACTTTGCTGCAATCAACTGTATAGCATTTATCATATACTATTTCTTTCATTGTACAGATAATATATGTTAGTAGATATAATATTGATACTGACTATTATATCTAAAACACGTTTTTATATTCTTGGATGGAAATATTTTGACTTGCATTAACTATATATAGAGAGGAGTGCAAGTTTTATCGCCGAAAAGTAAAGCCAATAAATATTTCTCATAGAAAAAATAATGACGACAAAAAATATTACCAACTTCCTTTCAATGATTCATTTCTATAATTTAGTCTCAAGTAAAGAGTATGGTTACTATTTATAGCAGAAAGGACGTGGAATCGATGTACTTTTATCGAACATTTTATTTTTCTCATTTTTTATTTTGAGTCATAAAACTAATAACTCGTTATCTTGGAGAAAAATGAATTGAAAAAAACGTCTGGACGACAGGAACTTAAACTTTTCCGTAACAAAGAAAAACATTTGTCGTTCTGTGTGATTCATAATGTCTACCTTCCTGTTTCCATCACCATGTGCAACCGATAAACATCACATTCAATTTATTTCCGAGCGTCTATATGCCCAGAACCTAATCGAATATTGGTTGTTTTAAGATATGAAGATTAAAAATGTAATCTATCTGCTCGATAATATCATTTATTGTTCAAGTTGGGTATTCAATAGCTACATTATATATTTCAGTTGATTGTAGACACTTTTTTTTATCAGAAACATGTTATATCTATTTACTGAAATTGATGTTTACACGTGCTTTGACAATACATGAGAAACTTAGAAAATATTTGTTTTTTCTTTATCATATAATTGATTTATTGCTGTGCAAATATTTTGATAATATACTGATGATGAAGGTTACACGTAGGGATATTAGTTTTGATTTTCATTTTTGGAAGCTCAAAATAACATATCGATTACTGTTTCTCAGAGCCGACAATGATACTTCTATACCCATCCACCAGAGAGAATGAAAGAAAAGGATAACAAAGACAAAGTATCACATGATATTTGAAAAAAGTACAAAATCAGATAAGGTCAATATATCAAATGCGAATAAAGAATAAAGAGGAGACAAACATCGTTATCATATAGCAGAGAGCATATTTGCAGCAAAAATGTTTAAAAGAATATTATTTTAGTCTTAACCTATTCATGAAATACTACGATAATGTGCACAAGTGGCATTAAAGTTAAGCTACATGTGATTGTTACATTTAATTCTTATTTACAGCCATACGTTCACTAATTATTCATATTTCTTCTCGTAGTTAGTAGGAAATTCTAATAAAAATACAAAAAGAATACGATCATTTGTTTTGTATCCCATATAGAGTTTCAACATTCAACTTTCTTTTCTTTAATGGAATACTGTCAGATTCAATGATGTTGAATTCAATACAATAAAAGATTGATTAAGATCAAAAATAGGTATCATCCAGGTTGTTGCAGCAAGCAGAACAATGAAGCCACCAAAAATATTTAACATGAACCCAGTTGTTAACTGAAGCAAAAATATTCAATCAGACAAACGTTGAAAAAAACGACGTTTTTATGCGTTAAAAAAGTGTTTCTCTATGAGGGAGAAATCAAGTCTGGAAATATTTACATTGTGAAATTGATTTTTCTCACAAAAACAAATTTTTTAACGCATAAAAATTTCGTTCTGCTCAACGCTTGTCTGACTGAATAGAAACATAAAAATGAAAAAAAATAATACCAAGTCACGTGAATGAATGTAACCAGTGGCACAGATCACTAGATTCGGTTGAGATGCTATGCAAATAAAAAGAAAAATCAATGAGCAAACACGTCAGTGGTGTCACACTTAGAAAGTTGACTTCAAGTATTCAAATGAGAACTCCGAATGTGCATAAACATTTTGTTCATTACATTCGCTCGCCTCGATATCCATAAACACTCGTACTCGATCGAACCGAATATCAAATTTAAATATAGGAGTAATTCAATAATTGAGTTCAACTTTCAAGTTAGCATACATTTAGTATATACTTACATATAGGTAAAAGAAATGCTAGTGAAAGACTCATTGTTGAAGGTAACAACAACCTTGCTGGATGTATTCCCATATTGATAGCCTATAAATAATTATGCATACTAATATGATCTTATCTCGGTTCGATCCCAAATTCATGATAAAAAGAAACTAGCTTCAGTTGTATCTAAATTTTCATTGGAGTTTGAAACTGTAATAAGTGCGGATGATGTAAATGTTGTGTTCATTTTTCACCCACATCCTCAAGATGGTTTGTGTAGAGAATCATTTTCATCAATGAACTTTGATTCGGACAGAAAACTCACTAGTATTCTCTCGTGCATCGAAAATTTGAAACCAAAATTCTATACTTTTGCTGAAATGAAATGATGACTTCAATTAACATACCAACGTGCTGATGACAGGAAACAGAATACTGGCTTTAAAACAAACAACATAGATCGATTTCAATAGAGTTTCAATAATATATATATGCAACGTACCAATAGAAAGATTATTGATCAATTGAGTACACACTTCACTTAAGATAATGATTGTTACAAGAATAACAAAGCGTGAAGAATTATGTACAAAATACAATGCATTCCCAAAAATATTTGATAATTTTGAGATCTCGAGAGAAAAATTAAAGAAAATAATTAAAAAAGACAAACTTCTTTAATATACCTGAAATGCTTGTGCAATTGAAAGACCTGCACCAAGCATTAACAACGTTCCCCATGGATAATTCTTTGATAAATCCATCCAAGGAATAATTGGATTATACTTCCAATCGTCTATAAAAATGAACGAATGGTTTTTTTTTATTAATAAAGAAATATAAATCAAAACAATCTAACTTAAACGTGGCTTCTCATTTGGTAAGATCATAGTAAGAACGGCCATCAATAGAGCTACAGTACCATTTGATACAGCACTTTAAATTGAATAAATACTAAAAGTAACTGATTTAGTACTTCAATTCATACTTGCGTGACATGAGACTACCCCATCCACTACCATTTCCAGCTAGATCACGTGTAATCCACAGTAAGATAGCGGATAAAAAAAGTATGGCAACAACTCCTTCTTTCCATCTAAAAACAACAATACAATCTGAACTGTTGTTTAAATATAAATCTATTTACTGCAATGGCCCCAGCTCATTGTACTGCCGCCGTAAGGTCTGTTTCAAATGTTCATCTCTTGCATTTAACATTGAATTTCTCGAACAACAGGATTGAGTCAAACTAGGAAATGAGATACATATGTTGAAGATAATTGAGGTAATATAGTATGCAATTAACCCGTGATAATTAAAGCGAATCTGTAGCCATAACCAACAGGATATCATCATCAATACGACTGTTGGAAGAGTCAATAGAAGATAATTGAGAAATGTTAGACGAAAATTAGTATTGGCATACTGTCTAATCAAATGTATATTCTAAATATTAATAGAATAATTGAATAAGAAACATACTCATCAACATAGCCTTTAAGAAAAACTGTAGCGGCAGATCCGACGATAGTAGAAAGTCCACCATAAACTGAACTGTATGTAACACATAAAATAAGGCCTAATTATTTATTATTGAATATTTTTCATCATAAAATATTATTTCAGAAACCTTTTCTAAGTTTGATAATATCATTTGAAGACACTTTTTGTTCTTGTTCAGTTGATTCATCTTTTATATTTGTTGGAGTCAAACAATTTATAGTAACAATTGAATGTTCTGAAACATGAAATAAATCAAATCATAGTATTAGTATATTTCAAAAATCAACCGTTTATGTTGGCTAGACTATTTGTATGTTGCTCATATTCATCTGCAATTGCCAATGCTACTGGCAACATTATTGACGTGCTAGCAGCACTATGAAAAGAATATAGTATTCAATCGACATATTTTGTTCATATTTATTAAAATATACTTATTGATCCACATTGATATCAAACATGTCGTTGTCATCAATCCAGCCATTATCCATTTGGTGGATGATCCGACTACTGTTAAAATAAATAGAGCAGCACGTCGGTGTAAATTAACTCGTTGAATTGCATAAGCTAATGTGACACTTCCGAAGAACAACGATGCAGTATCCTTTAAAACAAAATAAAATATTTTATATATAAATACAATAATTAAAACTTTGAAATAATTTGAAGCGACATCGCTAGCTTTGAGTATGCCTGTTAATGGAAACAAGATAAGAGGTAATAATGATGTTACAGGTACGGGAATAGCTTCTGAAATCCAATAGATGAGTAAGATAAGAACAACATAACCACATTTCGAAGCCTAAAGGTATCATTAAAACAAAAAAACAATTTATATCTATTCATATAAGAGTATATGTACATCACTCTGTATTAATAATGGTAGCGGAATAAGTAGAATGGGTGTAAGTATGACTATCAAAATTTTATAATATTCTTTCAAACATAGGTATGAGATCATTGTCAATTTTCGAAGAAAATGTACAGGAATGATAAAATAGCTTTTTATTATTCAATTGTACTTTTACTAACATTATACGTGATATTAAGAAAATGTCACCGTTACATGACTAATCCTTTTTTTATTTCATGTTTTTCTTGAATTTTAATAAAACAAAAAAGATTAATGAGATATTATATCCCCATCTCTATTTTATTGATGAGAAGAAAACAGTAGATTGTGTGAATCTCTTATTTAATATAAACAGAAGAATTAAAATCTTTTCATTATTATAATCTCGCATCTTGAGGATGTAGCTGAAGGTATTAATTGTAAAACAGACTAATCTATGTACCTTTCAAAAAAACGCAGTCTGCTGTCTTCAAGCTTTTGATTTTCAGTAATCGATTGTGTATAAGATTAATAAACGAATCAAAATAACAACCATCTTGTCTTGTTATAATTATATAGATATATCTATATAAATGTATGTAAAAAAGATGCATAGAAATTTTGAATTCTTTTCGTCATAAGCTTAATTTAATTATTTTGATTCAAGAATTATTTAATAAGAACCACGACTCTTTTGAAAATTTCTATCTTCAACATACGTTTGAACACGTGGTAGTATTAATAGTTCTTCTATTTAAAATAGATCATGTTGGTTTACGAGGATTTCCACGTTAAATCAGAAAGTTTCACGTTTTACATCAAAACCAGAATGACTTTATATTGATATTAAGAAGATAATTACAAACTGTCGACAAAAACTATACAATTCAACAAAGAACGGTTATAGTATACCTTTAGCCTGACACGCACTAAGATATAATCTGAATGCAACTCTTTCTTAATGGATACCTATTTTATTAAGTTCATCATAATTAAATGAAAAAAGGAATTGTTTTTTTTAAGTCTTTGTTCGAATAATTTTTAGTCAATATGATATTTATGATTATTTAAGAGAAGAAAGTTCGCGAATATTTGCTTCAGTCTTTACTCGATCAGGATGTCCAACGGGTAGATTTTTCTCTTGAATTGCTAATGCTCGTTTGTAATTAACAAGTGCCATTCTTGGTACTTTAAGTTTCACGTAACTTGCTGCAATATTATTAAGACATTCAATTTTATCACGATGATCATCAGGATAATATTTGTCTTGTATTTTAAGTGCTTGTTGAGATAATTTCAATGAGTCACTATTCTTTCCTTGTTTAAGAAGAACTTTACCAACAAGATTTAGACTGTAAGCAATCTCTGGATGAATAGCAGGATAATATTTCTCTTGTATCTTCAATGCTTGTTGAAGAAAAACTAAAGCTTCAGGATATTTCTGACGTTTGTAAAGGAGACTACCAATATTTCTAAGACTTAAAGCAATATCTGGATGATCGGCAGGATAAAATGTTTCACGTATTTTTAAAGCTCGTTCATAAAATTGACGGGATTCATCATATTTTCCTTGTGTTTCAAGAACAGTACCAATGCTACTTAATGCATAAGCAGAATCTTGAATTCTCGGTGGATTAGCATGCATCATTCGATCATAAGCTTGATCATATAAATCTCTTGCTCGCTTTAAATCACCTTTATATTGAGCAACATAACCAAGATTAAATTCAAGCCAAGCAATATCTTCATCATTTGGATATACTAATAGTTGTTCAAAATATCGTTGAGATTTATCATAATGATCAGCCTGACACATTAATTGACCAAATATAATACCTTTACTTTTCTTATCAGTTTCACGACCTGTGTCTTCGATATAATCATGAGTACTTGTTTGTGCATCAGTTGTAACATTCATTTTAATAATCCATACTTGATCATCATCCTGTTCGACATTTTCCAATCGAAAACCACTATCCAAATCAAATAATACTTCTCGATCACTCGAATGTTCACTGAACTCAGCAATATCAGCAAAAATAATCTTATTACCTAATTGTTGTATATCACATTGAATTTCGAATACAACAGGTAAAATATTAGAATATTCTGTAGGTTTCGTAGCAGAAGCAAGTGCTTTATCCCGACGTCGAGTAGTACATAAATAACCATCGGTTGAAATAATTTTTCCTTGATTTTCTTTAAATTTATTGAGTTCTTCAGAGGATAATCTCATTCCTCGATATACGGTCAATGTTTTTTCAGGTGATTCAAACAATTTGTGATGTTCACGAGCAAGATTCTTGGTAAGATCACGAAGAAAAAATCGGAAATTATATAATTGATTAATATCTTCACTTCTTAAAGCTTTACTAATTAATTTATAAACAAAAGATTTATTTGCATACCATTGAATAGCTGAATTTGATTGATAATTATTTTCAAAATCATCGATTTCTTTAAGTTGTTTAGAATTTCCTCGATAATAACTACGACATATGTCAAGTGCTTGTGTCTTAGAATTTAAATTTTGTGGAAAACGATCAATAGTATTTTTCAAAATTTGAAACCAAAAAAATTCAGCTGATTGTTTTGGTAAATTTCCAATTGATTTTTGAAATTGATCAAATATATGAAATGTTTCCAATTGTTTTTCAACAAATTTAACTTGTTCTTCTAGTGATAAATATAAAGAATCTAGATCTTCATAAACACCAACTATTTTAACATATTCATTCGTAAAATTTTTATCTTCAGTTTTATCCGTACAAAATATGAAAATAGAATCGATTTGAGGAAGATTCATAATTGATGGTAAAAGTTTAGAAGCTTGTGTATCCGATATGATTAAAAAGATTTTTTCATTATGAATTGATTGAATACGCGTACGACATTGATTGAGTTCGGTGTAAAATAGAACATAATCGTTGATTTCACGTAATCGTTCTATTGTAGTCTCGGTATCTATATGTGATTCAATATCTGGATCGAACCAGATGAGAGTGATATTCTCTTTATTCTCATCGATACGTTCAGTAGCGGACTGTAGATGTTGCTTGGCGATCATAGAAATTGTTTCATTTGACAATGATGGTGTTGCTGTTGTTGTTGTAGGCATGTTTGTATGAAATGAAGCAAATTTGTAAGCTGACGATTTCTCTTTCTTTTTCTCTCGCGATGAAATTGTTGCTTCTATCAGTAGTGTAGGTTGCGATTTTCATCTCTCATTAATGTATTGTTTTGTGTTGGTAAGAAATTTAATCATTCTTTCAAAACATTGTACGTTTCGACTTACCATGTTAGAAACGAAAATTTTAAAAAAAAGAACAAATTATTTTTTTATTCTTCTCTTTCTTCAAATATATTATTCTCTAATGTAAATCGAAATGTGAGAAAAAGATTTTGTTTATTGTTCTTTTTTTTCTTCATTTCTACTCTGTTATTGACACGACTAAATTTAAATAAACGTGGACGTGAAAAGGATGTGGGTGTTCATACATTTTCTCTTGATAGAACTGGTTTTATAACTACTCAACAGAAATGTGAAGATGATCAACGAAGATTTTATGATCTACTGTATTCTCGCATTGCTTGCACTTTTATGAACTGAGTCTTTATATCTAACAAACTGAAAAGCATTCTTGATTATTTGATGTCACACTAATTGGGTGACAATATTTCTATAGATATATAGGGCTTTTAGTTGGTGAATTTTATTCAGAAGGCAAAAGCATCGATAAAGAAAAAACAACTTCGCTCTTAATATCATATAGATAACGTTAAAGAGGAAAATTTCTTTTTTTTTCTTATTTACCTTACAATATCATATAAAACGTGTCATTTTACTGATATTATTACTTTCGTGCGAGATATTATGATACGTTCATTTCTTATATGTTTGATATTGTATATTTATCAAACTGTAAGTATTTATAATAAAATAAAAATTCATTTTTATCTTTTATATAAGTTGTAGAATACAATATCAACACAATCGACTATACGTAATTTTACTATAGATGGTAATAATTTTATAAAAGATGGTCAACCTTTTCGGATTATATCTGGAAGTATGCATTATTGGCGTAGTTTTCATCAGGTAAAGAAAAACATAGATTTCTTTTTTTT